TGACTTAAAGGTGCATTGTGTGATATTTAGGAGGATCTGTTGACAGCAATGCAATTTAATATACATAACTATGTTTTCAGTGGTGTATAAAGACCTTGCTTGATGAACCGTTGTGTTTTTATTACCTTAGAATGAGCCGTTTCTCTCTACACACACCGCGGGTCTGCTTGCATTGAAATACACAAAGATGTCAAACATCATAAGAGATTGATTACACACATGTGACCTAAACTAGACTCAACGAAGCCTTCCAGTTCTGATGATTAAATATGTGTTTTGAGTGACAATTAATGACAATAAACTCATGATATAATGATAGACAGACAGAAATAGTAAACGTAGTAACACTTCACAATAAGGAGCATTAATGAACATGAACTAATAATGATCAATACTTCATCAGCATTTATTAATCTTAGTTCATATTAATTTCAACATTTACTAATACGTTATTAAAATCAAAGGTTGTATTAGTTAACATTAGTTACTGCACTGTGAACTAACAAAGAACAGCTGGATTATTATTAACTAACATTAACAAAGATTAATAAATACTGTAACAAATGCATCGTTAGTTCATAGATTAGCTAATGAACCTTATTATAAAGTGTTATCGAAAAAGTCGTATGATATTTACGAATGAATTCATGATATTTGTAACTCTGGAATATATATTATGTACACGTTACACCACATGACATTTTTAAAGTCGCTGCATTTACGTTTTTATTGTCCCATTTCTTTTGCTCTTATCCATCATTGATATCTGTGATATTGTTTTACAGACACTCGTTTTGAGTCTTGAAATCCCGTTCTGTCGTTACAGATGCTTTTCATTTAATTGGTAGACTTTGTCTTTCAGACTTTCATTTAGTTCACATTTTTTGGCTATACACTTTGTGAAATCTTTGGTATTATGAGATACAGTGTCAATATTTCTCATATGAGTCAGACTAAATAATCAAGAGGATTTTGTTACTGTTCGATTTTATTGCAAAGGTGAAGCAGGTGAAACGGGATACCTTGTCAATCTCAGTAATTGCCAGGTTATGCGAGTCAAGCCGACTAGAAACACAAAACTTTATGATAAATCGTCAGCTAGCGAATGGAAATATAAGGATGAGTCCAAACAGAGGCCGTAAATCATCTCCTACTGTTTGTTTGAATATATGAACTATAGCATGAGTGTCATGGCAATACGCCAGTTATACATTCTTTTGATCTTCATGCATTTTTAATCGTCTTTGTCCTGATATAAAAGAAAGAAGAAATGTGTGATGTCGAAATGCACTTGTACAGTGCTCATGCTCAGAGATTTGAACATGCGTATCATGATGGATCCGACCCGGTTCAATCACACGTTGACCATTCATAGTATCGGCCCGAGACTCGACTGCAGTGCTTAGATATTCGTCTGATCTAAACAGAGTTGATGAGTCACGAAACAACAATGTGAGTAGAACGAGCCTTAACTCTTGTACGAAAAACAAAACACATTCTCCTGGCATCGCTGAGAACATGACATCCGTCCAAGAGAAACCCGGCTCAAATAGCCCTTCTATTCCTGGCCTCCGCTAGCACTTGTCACTTTTTCTAAAAATAAGTTACATTTTAAAATGATAAGGTTGTTCCATTTGCTTAATTCGTTTTTTTGCTCTCGCTGCTGTGATTCAGATGAAGTATGTGATGACATAAGCCGGTTATTTGCACAGTTTCTGGCGATTCCTAGTTGATGCTCCACACATCCTTCCAGTTTAGTCCCAGCGATTGCTTTCCTAACCCTGCGTCATCTTCAGGGAGTCGCTGTAATCGATGTCTGCTCTTAACTTCTGTTCTCAAGAAGCTATTTTGTAGGAGATTACACAATCAAAGAAATAACCAGCATCCATAATATTAATAATATTACCTCCCTTTTGTTTTCAGCCGGACATGTGCGGTGCATTGTCCAATCTGTTGATCTTTCCAAGCTTAAAAACACATCAAAATTAATATCAGAAATGTCATAGGAACTGTTGCATAACCATGAGATACTGCTTGAGGTATTCCACAGTTTGATTTCAGACTACATGTACTAACTGTGGTTAACTAAAGAAAAGTCCAGTTGTCATATCTGCAACACACAGCGGGCTCAAAAAACTGGCTCAAAGAACAACCGTTTTCATGAGCATGTCCAAGCCGTTGCTGTAACACAGATCGCATGATCCTCTGGCCAGTGTTTGACTTCTTCAAGTAAATATGCATGCATTCGACACAAGCTCGCTTTCCTACGAATGGTCATGGGTTTCAAACGAATGTGCTTCATGCTCGTCTGCTGTTTTAGAGTTGATTCATGGTCCAGAAATGTGTAATGATGTCAGATTCCTTTCAGCTGTAATTTGTCCCAAAAGTTTCCGGATAAATGTGCCATTTCAAAAATCAGTTGGCTTCAATCTTTAAGGGGTGAAGTATCCCAACGAGTGTATTACTTCCATTTATAAGCAAGATTTCATAATACTTTTGGCAGTGCAGGTTAGAAGTGATTCCCAAAACGAGATATTCTGATAGTGCATGGATTTGGTCATAGGACATTGCTTGTCAAATTGATCATTTGACGCACCTTAAATTGACCTTCAGCAGGTATTGAACTATTTACTAATGTAGGCCTGGTTTCACAAACAGTTCCTTATATAAGGAACATTACAAATGTAAACATTTAGAAGAAAAAAAGAAAAAAACTTTGTATCTTTCGCCGCCAGGGCGCCGCCATTGTGCAGTTGACGTCACGGGGTTGGTTGGCTCAAGTTTAACAGGCTCTGGGCATTGAAAATCGCGACACCAAACTGTGTTTACACCAGTGTTTTGACCGCGAACGACTAATGTTAGGTACAGTCATTAGACAAAAAGACGACGTCTCATGTTACATGTTGACAAACTGCACATAGAAACATTGTTCGCGATGTCTGCCGTCAGATATTCCCGTCTCGTCAACAACATGTAAGTTACGTTGCTGTGTAGAACAGCCGGTGGTGGTTTGGGGCGGAGAGCGGGTTTGCAACGCTAACTTACCAGGTGTCAGTGTGGCTGTTGTCCTGCGATGCCCTCCGTGTCAGAGTCCGTCTGTTGTCAAGAGGTTGATCTTGAGCATGTGTTGCGTGGTCAATTCTGCATCACCGGCGCGCACGTTTACCATGCTGTGCTGAGACGTGTGGAAGCGGCGATGCTTTCCCTGAAGGATGTCAGAGCGGAGACACTTTTTCCTAGTATATGTAGGCTGTAGCTAACGTTACTAGCACTACCAGTGCGAAAATATGGACGTTTCCTTTCCCCTTTAACAAATACGTGCTAACTTACATGTTATTGACGAGACAGGAATATCTGACGGCAAACATCGCGAACAATGTTTCTATGTGCAGTTTGTCAACATATAACATGAGACGTCGTCTTTTTGTCTAATGACTGTACCTAACATTATTCGTTCGCGGTCAAAACACTGGTGTAAACACAGTTTGATGTCGTGATTTTCAATGCCCAGAGCCTGTTAAACTTGAGCCAACCAACCCCGTGACGTCAACTGCACAATGGCGGCCAATGATACAAAGTTTTTTCTTTTTTTCTTCTAAATGTTTACATTTGTAATGTTCCTTATATATTTGTTGATTATATTGGAAATCCATCTTGTAAATCATGTAAACTTGATTCACTGCTTCATTTCCCCTTTAAGCCAGGATTGGGCTTAATAACTTCAGCTTTAATAAACGTGCCTTAGAAAAAACATCACTGGTGTGATTCTTGAGACAAAACAATAGCACTTTTAGTTCAAATAACTCTGACATCCATTTTAGTCTGGGACTAGCTTTATGGTGACGTATTATGCCCCCTTTTCACAAGATGTGATATAAATCTATGGTATTATAATAAGATCCTCTTCATACGCCAGAAGGAGAGAAATTGGACCGGCTTGTTTTTAGACATGCTTGCAGAGAAACACTCACCAGAACACAGTTACTGTCCACGGGTTCTGTCGGTAGAGGCGGTCGATTACAGCACACACACACACACACACACACATGGAGAAAAGCAGATTTTCATGATATGTTCCTTTAAGTCTTGTCTGTGAAACCAGGGGTTAACCTTTTTACACTATTTATTGATGTAGACTAATATTCATGTGTGCTGTTGTTAAGTGAGTGAGTAATGCTTGTTGTACATTAACACGAGGTGAGCGCTATCGTCAGTGATGCTCCGTGATCGCTGGCTTCGGGCTGAAGCTCTGCTGTTGTGTGTGTGTTGTGCAAGTCTCATGCATATGTGTGTGTGTGAGTCTCCAGTGGCCTGGGGATCCTGCAGGGTTCCTCGTTTTGAGCTCCTGCCACACACACATTCCTGCGCGTTGAAGTAACAATATTGTTTTGTCTCCAGTTCCCCCGATTCCTCATCAGAGAACTGCAGAAGATGAATATTGCTGAAAGTAAAACCGTAAGAGTGAAGAGGCAGTGCTGTGCTGGAGTTATTTTAGGACGTGGTCTGTGTCTCGAACGCTCTAATGCGTTACTGTGATGAAAGATGCTTGAACTGAGAAGTGAAGGCAAACCTGTTTATGAGGCGAATAACCGGCGATGGCTTGAGACTTAATTGACATTAGTGCAAATATTTTTTGGGGAAAAAACCTTTAGCTTAATACGTATGAACAAATTAATTTTGAAGGGGTTACTTGTGAAGATATAGCCTAACAGTCATTTTCATATATATATTTTATTTTTCTTTTCAATCAAAATATGTTTATATTTTTCACCCACAGTAATATAATTACTATAATTGCTAATGCTTAAATATGATTATACACATCTATATGAAAATATGTGTCTGTTCATAAGACTGTAGATGTGCCACCCAATCAGATAATGCTGCGAGACGTCTTCTTTCCCGAGAGCGTGACGTTTGCAGAGTTCTTGACCACTTCCAGCGGCCCACGATGACATTTCCCCGTTATCTCCTTTTGGGAATGCAGACGCTCACAGAAACGGCAGCGTGATGCCCGTCACAAACCCCACGCAAACCGGCAGTTTCATTCTACGGTTTATTCGTTTAAAGCGCTGCATTATCAGTGGTAAATCAAGCCTGCATTTTTCCAAAATCACATTTGGAATGGTCCTGTTTGCCCGTGGGCTTTGGGCTGGCGATGCTGTTCCTCTTCCAACCACACCGTGATCTACAAGAGCTCAGTTTGTGCGGCCGCGAGAACACATCTGGTAGAGGATCAACATCTAATCTGTATCGTGTGAGGCTCCGTCAATTATGTTTTAGAGTCACACGGTCCGTATCCAAACTGATTATGTACAGTATGTTCTTCTGTTGTGCCAGTCTGTTTTTGTTGTGTGTGTGTAAAGCAGGCTTTTGCCAGTACATATGGGTCACTGAACTGTATAATGAGATCTTTAATGTATGTTTATTATCTCTGTAGATTATCTTCTGCTGTGAAGTTCTGCGAAACCTCTCGCACATGATGAGCAAGCTCAGGTGAAACGGTCAAAGCTCCTGTTCGTCAGGGAATCACAACATCTACATCCACACTATGACCAGAAGCATCTCGAGTTCACACTGATTTCACACACTCGTCCTGTTCTTCTGACGCCGGTGCTGTTCTTCCTCAGAGCTTCTCAGGTATGACTTACTTAATCACATTTCATTGTATGGCTTTAGAAATCAATAGCCATGTATACACTACCAAAAAGCCAAAAGTTTGGATTAACGGATCAAAAAAGTGAAGCAGCTCAACAGGTTTCAACACTGATAATAATGATAAATGTGTCTTGATCATCAGATCCTCATATTAGAGTGATTTCTGAAGGATCATGTGACACTGAAGACTGGAGTAATGATGATAAATTCAGCTTTGAATGTTAATTATTTCAAACTGTTGACCACCACTGTATCTATCCAATAATCACAAACTTCTTTAATAGAGGTGGGGATATTTTGTGCATCAAAGGGAACATGTTTGATGTTTATTCTGCTTCTGTTGGAGTCGTTACTGTGTAGATCTGACCTAAAACTCCGGTTCATTGCCGGTTTTATCACAGGGATTAAAGAGGATTGTGCTCATCTGAAATGATTTCACCTTGAAGAAAAATACCTGAGAGTATTTTACAATCGAGTGAGTAAAGCGCATCTCTTTGCATCCGTCATGCGTTTGATGTATTGAGATGAATGTACTTCACTCTTTGCTGTTTTCTTGGGATAAATCATTACGTAGGGCTGTATTTCAGCATAAAAGTGCTAGAACACACCATTTGAAGTCAAACTGGGAAACGTATTCACTGCTATTTATGCTAATGAAATTTATAAAATGTGTCAGTAAATGTGTCAGAAACGGAAAATGTGTCAGAAACGGTAAATGCGCAAGGCAAGGTAAATGTGTCAGAAACAGTAAATGTGTAAGACGGTAAATGTGTCAGAAATGTAAATGTGTCAGAAACGGTAAATATTTCAGAAAAGGTAAATGTGTCAGAAACACTAAATGTGTCAGAAACGGTAAATGTGTCAGAAACGGTAAATGCGTAAGGCAAGGTAAATGTGTCAGAAACAGTAAATGTGTCAGAAACTGTAAATGCATAAGACAGGGTAAATGTGTCAGAAACGGTAAATGTTTCAGAAACGGTAAATGTGTCAGAAACGGTAAATGTGTCAGAAACGGTAAATGTGTCAGAAACACTAAATGTGTCAGAAACGGTAAATGTGTCAGACATAGTAAATGTGTCAGAAACGGTAAATGCGTAAGGCATGGTAAATGTGTAAGACGGTAAATGTGTCAGAAACAGTAAATGTGTCAGAAACTGTAAATGCGTAAGACAGGTTAATGTGTCAGAAACGGTAAATGTGTCAGAAACGGTAAATGTGTCAGAAACGGTAAATGTTTCAGAAACGGTAAATGTGTCAGAAACACTAAATGTGTCAGAAACGGTAAATGTGTCCGACATAGTAAATGTGTCAGAAACAGTAAATGCGTAAGACAGGGTAAATGTGTCAGAAACGGTAAATGTGTCAGAAACGGTAAATGTGTAAGGCATGGTAAACGTGTAAGACGGTAAATGTGTCAGAAACGGTAAATGTGTCAGAAACGGTAAATGTGTCAGAAACTGTAAATTAGAGGTCTTCACGGGTCCAAAAATTCATGCCCGACCCGGAAGAGACCCGTAATGTGCTACACCGAACCGACCCGGACCCGTCGTTCATTTCAAAAGTTGGACCCGGACCTGTACAGACCCGAAAAATGACATAAATGTACTGCCCGGACCCGACCTAGACCTGTCTATTATTTGAAAACTGGACCCGAACCCGGCAGGAAAACACAAACCCGACTGGACCCGATTGTCACATATTATTTCACACGAGTTGCGAAGAATAAAACTTTTTGTCTTACATAATTTTAGTAGCTGTCGTCTCACTTCCTTGTTACGTTATCTGACTGACTGATGCATTACAATCCACCGACAAGAAAGTTCTATCCATGTTATTTCTCTCGTTATTCCAAGCTTAATCCACTCATTACTTCAGCTTTAAAAGTCCACTTGATGTCACGGTGATGGATGACAAATGGAGCCTTGCACATGTACATTCTGACTCGAGTTAACTCGCATAATAACTTTAACTGTTTGCCCTTTTGAACTATAATAACGATTGCTTGTTGCTTGTTCAGCTTGATCATATCTGTGCTCTCTGCTCTTCATTGAGTCTGAATCTGACCACCAAAACTTTAAGATTAAACAAGACGGTTCATTTATATTATTATAAACATTGGAGAAAATTTAAAGCGCGGTTTGGGGGAAGCTCTGGTTGCCTGGTTACTCTGGTTACTCCGATCGCACGGGTATTACCAGCCCGTTCTCAGCGCGTGTTATATTAACGATAACGGGTGCCATGTGAGTAGTATTGCACTTTACTACCTGTGGTCCTTTAAGTGTATTAGAAAAACTGATGGCTGACTGACTCATAACATTATTTTGACTATAGCTGTTTTTGTGGCTGTTTTTAGTTTGTCTAAAGCTAACTTTAAAAAATCAGATTTTTTAAAGCATTTTATTTATTTTATTTTATATTCTACAGGTTTTTTAAAATTTATTTTATTTTATATTCTGTCTGTCAAGCCCTAAGCTGTTCCCAATAACCAAGCTGCTAAGTTAATATGCTGGACATTCACAGGTGTCAATTCATGATACATTGTCTTCTCTTAAATGTAATACTTAATGTACAGTACATTGTTGTTAAATATAGTGAGTAATGCAACATGATAAATAGAAGTCTTCAAATAGACCCTGTAATCGGTGAACGGTATCGGGCGATACAGCTTCCAGTAATCAGGGATTGGTGATCGGCCCCAAAAATCCTGATCGGATCACCCCTAATAAGCATCTCGTAGATGATCTTATTAAATAATATTTTAACATCTATCTAGCTAACAGGGAACGTTCTGTCAAGGATTTCTCATGAACAAACATTCTTCCAGTAACATTAATGGAATGTTAATTCTAAATGAACATTAATTCATTCATAAAACATAAAGTTAATAATGCTGCCACAACATTAGCACAAAAACATTATTTATACAACATTTTTTATGAAACGTTTTAATTGGATGTTCGTCTCACATTGTTAAATGTTGTTACTTCGTTCAGAGAACATTAAAAAAAGTTCAAAACATTTTAAAAGGATGTTTTGAACATTCGTCGACTTTAACGGGAACGTTATCCAAACATCATCTCCGAACATATCTTTGTGAGCTGGTAAGGCAGTTATCATCAGCGCTGGATGAACATCCCTGGGTGAGTGTGAGACCTGAATCAAAAAAGATTTATTTTTCTTTATTTTTAAATATCGTGGAAATATTTGCATAGTAAAAAACAAGTTTATTTTTTCAGTCCAAGTTTCTTTACCTCAGCGTCTTTAAAACCTCAGTATAACTCTCTCATACGAGAAGAGTTTCGCAGTGTGTGTGTGTGTGTGTGTGTGTTGGTGATGATATCCCAGAACGTTAGATCGGCGAAGGTGAGCGCTGAGTAGATGAAACATCTGCTTAAAGTCAAATGCACAACTCCGCTGGCCTGTAAATATTTTGATAGCAGAATGCACTATAAACAGCATCATCAGTCTGTTTGCATATGATGGAGAACGCAGAGCTTCAAAGCTCCATCAAGCCCTTTTACTGTAAGCGCTCTTCTGATATGGGAATATGACAGTGATTCGCAGCTCCGTCTGGTTTGCATGCTTCCGTCTCCGAAAGGTCGCAGATGTTCTCAATCCCTTCACTTGTACGACATTAGTTTACTAATTACATTTGCATAAACATTTCATGTTTCCTATTTATCATGCATATTTCCATAAGTGGCTTTTGGTGAGTGTGTGAACATGTGCGGTGAACATTCCTCCAGCCAAATCTAACGTGGAGAATTATCGGTTATATTGGTTGTATTTTTGTTGGTCTGAATGCTGATGCTTCGGATGGATGACTTGATCATATTTTTAGTGTAAGGGTAATAATCTTACCACCACATGGCTGATGTCTGTCCTGAGTCCTGAGATGTTCAAAACAAGCACGTTTGAAACCAAGATCTTGCTTTACATTTGAAGTGTTGTGAGAAACATCAGAAGTAAGACTAGTTGAAGAGCAGCGGTCGTGTCCGACTCGATGAACCCGTGCGAGACGCTGCCAGCTTAAGTGCAGTGTCCATCGCTGACCACTAGGATTAATGCGTGTTGTGGCAACAGGAGAGCCCACGCTTCACTGGCTCAGGTGACGTTTCCTTCCTTTGTGGCTCAGTGATTCTCCAGAGACGAGGATGATAATGAACGAGTGTTCTGTCACAGCGCTGGAGTCTCAGTGCCGGTCCAGTAGGGTTATCATCGTCAAGGACTGAAGTGTAGTCTTCAACATGGACTCTTTATACGCTGTATGGAGACTGAAACCACAATAACTCTAGAAGGAAATGTCCTATTTTCATTCATTTTATTTCATTTAATTTTTTGAGTGCAACAGCTGGTTTCCAGATGTTAAAACTGAAATAGATTTTTAACGGTAACGATAAATCTTTATAGTCAGCCCTGCTGTGAGCGACGAGGTTGTTAATCGATCGTATCTGCTGCTTTTGAAACAGTCAGCCTGCATTATTTCATCTTAGTTTTAAAATGATCATATTTAAAAGCAAAATTTGTGGTGAAAAACTACATTATCTATGATGCTGAACAGAAAACCTGAAATACACACAGTACACACAGGAACGTAATGACTGTAAATACTATGCAACCTATACAAGTAACCTACAGAGTCTTCAAGTTTTATAGTATTAAATGCATTCGATCTGATTCAACAGAGGAATGAAAGGTAAGGATTATGTGAATGCTTGGCTAAAGAGATGCGTCTTTAATCTACTTTTGAACTGGGACAGTGAGTCTGAGCCTCGAACAAGGCTATTGGGAAGGCTATTCCAGAGTTTTGGAGTTAAATGCGACAACGCCCTCCCTCTTTTAGTGGACTTATATATATATATATATATATATATTAGGGCTGTCAGTTTAACGGGTTATTAACAGCGTTAACGCAAACCCATTTTAACGGCGTTCATTTTTTTATCGCGCGATTAACAGTCTTTTTGTCCTAGCAAACTTTG